TAATTATGAATATCTCTGGTTTCTGTGAATCAAGGTTTCCGGAAAAAGCTGTTTCTATAGACGATGTTTATGTCAAAAATTCTATCTATGAACACAATTATCTATCAACAGTGCTTTCGATGGAACGAGATATCTACGAATAGTATTTTCTACCAACAAAGTTTTCGGCAAAACGAGCTGTCTAGGAATAGCGATTTCTATGGCTAGTGCTTTCTATGGAACGAGTTATCTACGAACAATATTTTCTACCAATGAAGTTTTCGGCGAAACGTGCTTTCTGAGAATAGAAATTTCTATGAACCATGCTTTCTGCATCCAGTAGTGTCGTACAAACGTGATTCTGTATTACGTTCCACACTCCGTTTTTATATTGGAATTTTAATATTCTCTTAGATAGCATACTGTCTAGTTCTTTGTCGGTCTTTGCTTGTAATTTATAATTTCAATATGAGTGTTGACATTCGTGTAAAAAAGTAAATAACTACTCATGACGTAATCATCATCTAGACTACCCCCCATATTATCCAAAATAAGCAAAACAGAAACGCCCTCCATGGTGCTTACGTAATATTTGAACGGCCCCTTAGTGTGACTTTTGGAATGGTTTTGGGGTGTTTAAACCTTATTGATAGATGATAAAGTTGAATTTCAATGTGATTTGTGTAATAGAAGTTGTAAGGGACTTTGAATTATGCTAAAATAGAAAGAAACTCTTTTAGAAGTACTTCGCAGTCTTTCTCTGTCATGCCGCGGAGAACTTTACGGGTTACCGGGGCTCCGGCTTGAAGTGCAGGAGTAGGAACGGGGTGGTTTTAGTCAGTAAGAGTCTGACACTCCCTCCCGCCTCACCCAGGCGGGAGAAGTCATTCGATGATTGTCCCCTCTTAAAAAAAAAGTCTTTCTCTCATTATATTTTTAATCAGTTCGTCATTTTTTAATCTGACTAAATTACAATCAAACACTTTAAAATAATACTTGAAACTTGGCTTCAAACAATGTCATTAACACATCAACTTCAAAGAACCAACTATCTTACGACAACCTTCTTGCTTTGCTTATTGATAAAAAAAAAATGATGTATTGTCCCCAGTATCCCCAGTTACCTCCGCGGCCTAGTGTACAACATGGTCCTCCGCCACGGCGGTCGCACCGAGTTCGAGTTCCTGTACCGAGTGTTCCAGACTTCCACAGACCCTAATGTCAAGACTCTCATCATCAATAACCTGCCCAGCACGAGGGAGGAGTCGCTGATTACTTTGTAAGTTGTTTCCCTTACTGTTAAAGTTTTACTACAGAAATGTGTAAGCTACTTGCACAGAATGACTGCATTCTGGAAACATAAGAAATAGAATTTATAGAAACTTTAATTTGAATCCAACATTATAAAATATACTTTCAAAACAAATGTCGAATTACGGAAACAAACAAAAATAAACAATTTTATCACATTATACATTGTTTTCTTGAAAATAACTAGTTTAACTATTTTTGTAGAAATAATATAAGTTTTGAAAACAAAATCTACCTACTACATTTTACGCTTGGAACGTATTTCAAGCGTAAAATGTAGTAGACCATTAATAATTCTTGCGTTGTTTGTGTATTCTTATTTAATAAACATGATACTCCGCAGGCTCCTGGAGCGGTCTCTGTCGGAGATCCCGAAGCAGTACGCGGTGGCGGCGTGGAGCGTGGAGGCGCCGCTCGGGACACGACTCGCGCAGGACTACCTGCTGCAGCACTTCCACCAGGTCATACATACATACATATACATACATACATACATACATACATACATACACCAACTGCGGAGGCAGGCCACTAGTTCACTATGGGCCTAGCCCACTACTGAAAATTGCACTACATTACACATAAATCAACATTACAATGCTATAATTTTTACGTCTTTTATCCCCGAAGCGGTAGGCAGAGGTGCACATTACGGCACTTAATGCCACTGTACAAAGTAACACCCACTTTTCACTATTTATGTTATGAGTCCATATAATAGGGGGTGAGCCTATTGCCATATACCGGGCACAATTACAGACGCCATGCTACCACTGATATTTTTACCCAGTAATACTTTGTCCGACCCGGCAATCGAACCCAAGCTGAGACAGTCTTACGTTTTTATGTGGTACCACAAAACATGAAACTATTTCGATCATTAATAAGGATCGAAGGTTTTTAAGTCTCATAATTCTGTTTTCGTATCTCATAATTGTAACCTTATCGATTTCTTTTTTGAATAAAGAAAAATAAATCATGGATATATTTTCATATTATTTTTCTATTATTATGTTATAAGTCCCATGTAATACGAGGTGAGTCTATTGCCACGCACCGGGATAATTCCACTCTCCGTGATACTACTGAGAATTTAAAAAAGAAACCAGCAATACTTTGCCCAACCCGGGAATCGAACCCAAGACCCCTTGCCCGGCAGTTGCACTTGCGACCACTTGGCCAACGAGACAGTCTGTAATAATTTTTAATGTATTCATATCATGAATTCTAGGTGTACGACAAATTCACACAAATGGACGCATTCATGTTCCCTGCCGTACTCAGTGGAAGCTTCGGGTTCATCTCTACTGAGGAAGAACTTACCAGGGTATGTATTTCGTTACATCATTCATTAGGTTAATAATCCATGATGTACATTGATCTAAGAATCAAGAAGACCACTTTTGGATACTCTTCATAATTCATAATTATTTCACAGCAAGTTGTTGATGAATAATCCTGGCTACAAGATTTTGCTCATGATTCATAATTATTATTAACATTTCCAGCTGAAGAACTTCGCTCTAAAGCACAAGGAGCAGTTGATGCCGATGTCGCAGACTCTCCAGAAGTTGGTGGACACGGCCACGTTCCGCATAGACTGGGTCAGGAAACACTCCGCCGGGATCAGCAAGTGGTTCCAGGACTATGTCTCCGGTATGTACTATCTTCGTTGATGGCGATTCAAATAACTATAATCCTTACATGCGTAGGTATTATTGGGGTACGCTGGCTAGATACAAGATTGAGAAAGATGGCATTCTCTGGAGGAAACTTTCACGCCAGGGGTTCCGTCAAACTAAACCATATAAAATATTTTTTAATGTGGAGTTTTTTAAATTGGTAAATATTAAGGCTTTTTATTTGTTTTATAATCCATATATATTACAAAAAGTATTACCTCTTCGCGTTTGTCTGAATGAACATGTTAAACTCAAAAAGTTTTTACCAACGGACAATAAGGCAGGTGGCAGGTGAAGCCTTTTTTTATCTCGATATAACGATATACTACTCTGGTACCAAAAATATTATCCAACTTTAAATTCTCAGCACAAAATCTGAATTTCTTAATCAAATACTTATAGACAATCAGGTCATCCACTTTATTTTAGATGAGCCAAGTAGGAAAAAGGTCCTTAATGTAATTAGATGACAACGCTAATTCCTACGTTCTAACCGTTTCTTCATATATAGCCCATAACCGGCGATGTCAGAAAAAGCCAAAAAAGCCGAAAACATCTCTAGCAAGATGCTATTTAACAAGAGCGAAGAGATTGGTTAGACACCGATGTTTCAATATATGTACACCGCTAAATTTATTTTGTTTTCGTCTCCCAGCAAAACAACTTGCCATGAAGAGTACTTTCTATGTGTAAAGTAAAAAATATAATGTCATTATTTTTTAATTTAATTTTTTATCGAAATTCGCACATGAAACACGGACATAAATCTGTTGTACCACCTAACGAGAAATAGCTCTTCGAGAATTATATGGAGTCATGTTTTGATAATATACTGAGTTCGAAGGTTTGCTTTTTGCAATGATTCACCAGTTATTTTTTGTTATAACCCTCTGCAACTGACGTGGTTAAATTGTGACAATTCAACTGAGGTGTATATTATACCAGACACCATTTCAACAGCAAATATTTTTGTAGAATTAAAGTATAGCGAGCACTATACAGTAAGGTACTCGCAGCAGTGATGCTCGTATTTGAAAAATGACGGTATAACACGTGATTTTGTATTTCGCGGTGTCTGTGGGACTACACGTCAGCCGCAGACGGTTAAACAATTTAATTTCTTTGTAAAACATCGTTTTACTAAGGCAGAACCTTTTACTTCGGGACGAAAACGATATAGATTTCATAGTGTATAAAAATAATGTAGTATATGTCATTCGAGATGGTAAACTCATTAGTTCTATCTCTCAATAGTGGTATTTGTATTGTGTAGTTTAAGTAACTATTCAAAGAATGTATGAGTAATGAGTATTGTAAAACTAGGCTATCTGACTTTCCATGCGTACTAACATAATGGTATAGTTATTTCTATGTAGATAAATTAGCCAAAGTAGTAACGTGTAAAGTCCAGCTAAAATCCTCCGATAATAATTATTTTTTACCAACATTAAACCAAAATTTTTTTACCAATCTCGCAGGTAAATCGCCGTTATCACAAATAAGTACAGTGGCCCCGTCCGCAGCCAGCCCGGCTGGCAACTCCAGTATACCGGCCGACACTACGCCGAGCGACAATACGCCGAGTGGCACTACGCCGGACAGCACTACGCAGAGTAACACTACGACACCTGCCGCGGCGTAACACTAACACTGGTACTCTTAACTTGATGTAAATATTTTTAAACGTTCCTATACTTAGATAAATAAAGCCAAAAAATATTTGAATCGGCAGACTCTGTGTTAAGGAAACTTGTGAAAATTTTTAATTTAATTTTGGTCTAACCAAACTTCTAGACAAAAACTTACTAAAAATACTAATTTGACGGTAACAAAATAAACTAAAATCTGTTTCTTTTCATTATTTTGTCGGAATCTCAATATTTTGTAGTTACAGTAGCGTAGTGTTGCTAGGTTATTCAAATTAAAATTATTTTGAATACAACACTAGCCATAGTATACTACCAAAACAAGCCACATTTTTTCACGATTACTTAAATGTAACTTAATATAGTAATTTAGTATTAGACTTTGATATAATCAAGCCTAAGATGCGAGCTAGTCGCCAAATGTTAAGTTCATTATATTTTGAAAAATAAATATTTTTACGTACATAATTAAATCGTCTTCGTCAATCAAATACACATACTTTCAAAGTATTACCTTAATAGTAATCAGAACAGTGTGTTTGATATTTGAATGTGACGAAATACCGTGTACATAATACGATAAAAATATCGATAAACATTGCAACAATCGATTCTCAGCATCGATAATTTCCCATCCCTATTTCTATCCTTTTATGTATTTCTATAAACTTTATAAATATATTATTTATTAGAATTTAAAGCTTTTAATGGTTTTGTATTTTATAACTATAATATATTTGCCAAGTTAGATACTGCTATATAAATTGTGAAGCCAAAGCTACAAGCGTACTGTCACAAAAATATATTATTCTGCAAAATTATTGTACTTATTATTAAATGATAATTGTAATTTTTATAAATAATTTATTTATAAATCTGAATCTTAGTGTTAGCATCACGTGTTAGATTTAGTACAATTATAAATAAGTTTATTTTTATTATTATGTTACCTTAGTTGTGGCCATATTATCTTCACTATATTAAACACACCGAATCTGTATACGATAACTTCATAAGATTATATTAAAGCTAGCTTTTGAGGCAAAACAAGCACAATATTAACAGCTAAAATACAACCGCAAACTTCACACATGCCGAGTTACAAAACAACATTTTACAAGTACCTGAGGCCTTAGTACAAATTTGTTTAACGTTTAAAATAATAGAAACGAAACTTCATTCGACGCTCTGATTAGTTGGTTCATTGGAGCCGGCCAATCAGAGCGCTGAACCCATACTCGTTCTTATTTATTTTAAACGTAAATCAAAGTGGTACTAATGCCTCTAAAACTAAAGTATCGATCATCATCATCATCTCTATGAGCCACAAGACATCCACTGTTGAACATAGGCTTCCCATAATAACTTCCAAATCGGAGGTCGGAAGCATCCTGCAAACGGTTTTTACCTTAATTATGTCGATACTTAACCTCTTTTCTGTCGATATATGAGACACAGTAGAAAAGACTATGCATCTCGCGAAGATCTGCATTCCGACACTTCACAGGTTAATCAAGAAATTAAGTATATCGATAAGATAAACACCTTATTTTATCGATAATATGCACATCATTATGGACAAAATGGACGCAATGGACACAATTATAATAGCAAAATTTTTGTCAGAAACAATTCATTAATTGACCTAAATGACAGAAAAGTGTATTTATTAATAGCTAAATATTTAAACAAAATATTTTTTAAATATTTGATTAATAGTGAATTTTGCAGTTTCAAGTTGAAGAAGTTGAAAAATGTGGTTGTTCTTGATAGAAGCTATTGACACTCTTTGTTTTATAAAATTTTAATGCAATTGCGATTTTAAATGCCATAAAAATAAAGAGACATAATATATCATTTAAATAAAGAATATATAAATTATCATGCACAATTATTTGTTTACATAAATTATTTACTTTTACACTTTTCTTATGAAGAAAGAGTTGAACTCTGAATTAATATTGTTAAAAATATCAATAAATTCTCCCAATATGTATAAAAATCTTACATTCCTTTGGTAATCATTGTTTTTTATTTATTACAGTTGGCAATAACACTCCACTTTCAAAGTGCTACATATCTACCATCTTGTTTTAAATGTTTTATTATTATCTGTTGTATCAAATGTTGCCATCATTTAAATGGTTTGTGTTGCCAGCTGTAAATATTGCATTATTTAATATTAATTGTTCCTATTTATTATTTAAAAAAACTCGAATTTAGATAATCTTATTTGTTAAAATATATTTGTGTAAACTTTTTATTGTAAGTGTTTGCATGTGAAAGCTTAATGTTGAATAAATAATTTAATAAATTATGTTTGTAGTTTCATTACCATACATATTTTATTCAATACCACGGGCCTAGGCCAACATTCCCTACGTTCATCATCAACAGCCTATAAGTGCCCCCTGCTGAGCAAAGCCTCTTCTCACACGGAGAAGGTTTGAGCAATAATCACCACGCTTGCTCAATGTGGGTTGGCGATTACAAACTTTTAATTAGAAATTATAAGCCCTTCCTCACGATGTTTTCCTTCACCGTTTGTCAGAGGTGTCTAGATCATAGAAAGTACATATAACTTGGAAAAAGTCACATTGGTACTTGCCGTTGGTAGGTTTCGAACCCGCACCCTCGTGGATGAAAAGCGGGCGTCTTAAACCTCCGGTCCACCACTACATATTCAACATTCCCTACGTTGGTAATAACAAAAGTAGGTCTTGAAGTCGTGAATTTTTCATTTAGAGCACTCGACGCTATGCAGGCGTCGTGTCGTCGCGGCGTATACGTTAATCGAACGCGTACGCTGGACAAACGCTAGTGTGAAGAGGCTCTTAAATTGTGTAAAAAGTATTACAGGACTAATTTGAACTTTATGGTTTTCTAAATATAAAAGTGCCTATGACACCTACACTCGGAATAATAACTAAAGCACCTACACGACGTCGTCGTAATTTTACTCTTACGTTTTCCAGTATGACGTACTTACACACTCATAAAAACACTGAGTCATTTACCATTTTCAGTGTACAGTGCCAGCAAGTCAACCTACTTCTTTCTGTCAAATATCTTTATGAGATTGTTAACTTTATTATTGTGAATTAAAGTCGAAAATCCTATGAAAAAATAGACAGATAGGTACACTGTGCCTCGTCTTGGAACTAGATAAATTACGATCAGCGAAATTAATTTTCAAATTATTTACAATAAATATCTTGCAACTAGATGGCGTTATAAAAACAAAAGAGATATAAAATAAAGCTTCTTCAAAAGTTACTCATTCCTAATATTATGTACCAAGTACCTAAGGTACGACATCTATACAAACCTACATACATACTTATTTATACACAGTTACGTAAGTAAGTACCTACTTAACAAACCGAAGACTCATACAAAATTACAAATCACGATACCAAAAAAAATATTTTCGTAGATACTTATATAAAAAAATCCCTGGAATTATTTTACAACCCATAACAGTATATAAAAATATTATCAAATATGACACGCGACTCGATTACCAATGGTTCCCTCCTGCCACGTCATTTTCCCTCCCTAAGCAAAGTATGGCAGCCCTGCGGCCAGCGCGAAAATCAATAATCTGCTTGTAAACAAGCCGTACCAAATGTAGGGCAAACAATCGTTGTACAATTTTCATATTCCGCAATTATTGTTTTGTCAAACCGATTCATTTAACCTCCATTTTAGTTAGTTTGTGTGTGTAGAATTAATTTAGTAAAAATGGACACCGCAAATGTTGGATATTCGTACCATTTGCCTTCAGGCGGCTGGAACTATAAAATACGCAACACATTGTCGCAATTCAGTGATTTGTTTAGCGAATTTAATAAATATATCGCCCCCGCATATCATCACGATCGTTGTGAAAGGTATTTTATGGTATTTTTATTCTTCAGATTTTTATGGAATTAAATATGTTTGCGAAATATGCCTACCCTACCTATATTATGTACATATGATACCACTTGTATGATTATTATTCCTACTTCAACATTATTTTGATCTTAGCCCTTTTATTATATAGAGCGCATTGCTAAAATAAAATAATTAAATATCTGTGTTCTGTTTCTAAATGTAAGTTACCGTAACTACGTTGTATTTTCATGAGAAGCCACTCATTTATGTTTGAATAATTCCAGGTCTGTTCAAATGAGGATTTATTCAATGCACAAAGGGGAGTTCGTGATGGTATTTATTGCGTTTTTCGCTTGTTTCGGATTAGGAGTATTTATAGGACTAGCAGGTTAGTACAATTTCTCAATAGTAATTTTAATCAGCCCTTTGTTTTTGTTATACCACGTGCCCACGCCCGGCGTAAAGCCACCTTCATAAAAAGGAAAATTAAAAATGGAAAGTTGAGCTATTTTCTCTAATAAGACGATATTCCTATATACCTATTTGTTAGTACGTATACCTATCTATATTATACCTACTCTTGACTTCCTTCTTACGTTTTACGATCTATGGCGTCACTGTGTCAGAAATAAGGGTAAATAACGCCCTTTAATGTCTTCGTACAGATATAATTTGTATTTGTAAACACCCACGACACAGGGTGAATTATTACAATATCTACCTACGTTTTTTGGCTTTATTACTGTGAGTAATATAGGTAACTACTAACAGCACGCCGTTTTCTTGGAATGGAAGGATTATTATTATGTAACGCTAATTTTCGCTAGTTAAATATAAGTAGTATGTGGAAAGTCTGAGGCCTTAGTACGAGTTTGATTTATGTTTAAAGTATTCGTAACGAGTACGCGTTCGGCGCTGTGATTTTCCGGGTCTAATGAACCAACCAATCAGAGTGCCGAACGCGTACTCATAACGTTTACTTTAAACGTAAAACAAACTCATACTAAGGTCTCAGAGACCTTAGTATTATTGGTCACTAAGTACAATTCCAAAAGTCTGTTCTATAAGTAAGTAATCCGAACGATTCCAGGACCATCACCAACCATGACGACGTCGATGACAGCGTCGTCAGTGCTGACGAACTCCAGCAGTATATACCAGGGACCCTTCCACCTGCACAGCAGGGCGCTCGGCCTTAGAGCGCAGCAACTGTGGCTCATGGCTGAAATACTCACTAATAATGACGACGGTACGTTTCGACAAGTCAATTACTCAGATCTTATAACAGTAGTTAGATTGGGCAGTACAAAAGAAATGGAAGGGTTAACAAACAAAGGAATTGTGAAGGCCGTATATTTGATGGAACAAATCTGCCACAACCGTCAAAACCGCTGCAACTGTTAATAGTTAGAATTTACAGTAGATCATCATCAACAACCTATAAATGCCCACTGCTAAGCAAAGCCTCTTCTAACACGGAGAAGTTAAGAGCATTAATCACCACGCTTGCTCAATGCGGGTTGGTGATTTCAAACTTACCTCTATAATTAGAAATTATAAGCCTATGTTTTCTCATGATGTTTTCCTTCAACGTTTGTCAGTGGTGTCTGAACAATCTTAGAAAGTAGATTTAACTCGGAAAAAGTCACATTGGTAAATACCAATGGCAATATACGTTGGTTCGAAACGTATGCATGAGAAGCGGGCATCTTAACCTTCGGGCCACCACGACACTGTGTACACTGAATAGTTTCTTGCTAACGGGTAAAACCCAAGAGTGACATTTTCACGTAGAATACCTAAGTACCTACTTGTAATACAAGTGGTATATACATGTAATACAAGTAATACAACTGACAACATATTCTTTTATTACAGAGGAGATATTCGACAAGAGCTTCCAAGTTAGTATTTCAATAGAGGGCGTGTTGGCCGACCACAGTAACACAGAAGAAATATTGTCCGAAGCGGATGCTTCCAATAGGTAAGTTAGAAATTTAGAACTTTAGCAAGATCACTAGGAATTGAACTGAGAAATTCTACCAATCAAAGACCAGCAACTGAGTGTTGAAATAGAGTAGCAGTAGCTACCATATTTGCAGAGGCATGGGAATAAAACACAATCTTTCAGTTTCAATAGCTCCATTTTCTTATGTTCGAAAATAACAGAACTGATATTTGGTCAAACGGCACATCGCATTGAACTACACGTCCTCGTGATCCACACTTTATCCTATCACCGCATATTTCAAAGTTTAGACACCCCTTTACCGTATCTGGCGATGCACAGTTCATCCAGACTGGAGAAGACATTGGATAATTTTCGACACTTAAGTAAAGGGTGTTTCGATCTGGTCTATTTAAAGATGCCTGTACCTTTTTTATGGCATTAGTTTAAAGTCCTTTGTCTCATATTAATAAATAACTTTGTGAAACATAACATCACGCCTTTTCATCCCCGAAGGGGTAAGCAGAGGTGCACATTACGGCACTTAATGCCACTGTACAATGTAACACCAAATTTTCATTATTTATGTTATGAGTCCCATGTCTAGGAGGTGAGCCTATTGCCATATACCGGGCACAATTCCAGGCTCCGTGCTACTAAGACTTTTGAAGCCTTTGACTGCCGACAAAAAACTGCTGAAGGCAAATCCTCCGCTAACATAGGTCACCGGTGACCTACGCGGCGGTTAACGTGTTGAAAACCCAGTAATATTTTGCCCGACCCGGAAATCGAACCCCTTGCCCGGCAGTCGCACTTGCGACCACTCGGCTAACGAGGTAGAGTTAGTGCAACGTGGCTGTGTACTTCCAGGACCCGCCACCTGCAGTGCAAGCAGCGCGCGTGCGAGGAGGTGATGGTCCTCCACATTCTGTGGCTCGACTACACGCACTACGTGTTCAATATTAACTTTTATGGACTCAAGGAGTTCCACCACCGTTATATTATTAGGGATATTGTATTCTATGTGAGTATCCTTCATTTTTTTTTATGAGATAAGCCGATACACGGGCAGACGGATCACCTGATGGTAAGCAATCGGCGTCGCCCATGGACACCTGGAACACCAGAGGCGTTACAAGTGCTTTACCGGCCTTTTGGGAATTAGGAGTTTGAGGATTGTGGAGGATTCGGGGATTGGGGAGATTGGGGAAGGGGAGGGTAATTGGGCCTCCGGTAACCTCACTCACACGACGAAACACAACGCAGGCGTTGCTTCACGTCGGTTTTCTGCTCGGCCGTGGTATCACGCCGGTCGAGCCGGCCCATTCGTGCCGAAGCATGACTCTCCCACACTTAGACTAATACAGTAACTACAGATGTTATTTACAAGTCCTAAGTTGTTACACGGTGATGTTCTTCAGCAGATCTAGTCTACAAATCAGGTCATACAAGATTGTTAAAATGTC